AGGACGAGTACAATTCATTAGGTACATTAGGTCTTTCTTTTGGAAATAAAATGCAGCAAGATGAAGAATATAATTTGCAGAGGATGGAGTACGAAAATTGGAGTAAAATCCAAATGGGAGGCTAGCCTATTTATAGATGTAAAGGTGGCTCTTGGTTTTAAATTGAACAGGTATGATACCTGTTGGTTTTGAATTCAAACAGATTTGAATCTGTTAATAATTCAAACAGATAGCAAAAAACGGGAAGGGCCCTGTTTGGGCGTGCACTAATTCCAAACTAGTTTAATTCTGTTTGAAAACGGGAAGGGCCCTGTTTGGATGTACAGAAAATCCAAATCAGTTTAATTTGAATTCTGGATTTTATTTTACCAAAAAATAAAATTAAATTCAAATGTTTTTGGCCCAAAAAAGATTAAAAGCCCAACCCAACCACGCACCACGCGCCCAAGCCCAGACGGACGGCGGCGCGCGTGTGGTGATTTTTGAGTCCAATGGGTCTAGCCCATTTTGCTCATAACCTCTCCCTCTAAAACACTTGGGTACCCCTTGGGGCACACCCCAAGTATCTCACCCTAAGCCTTATAAACCCTTTCAAAACTTCCCACCAAATCAATGTGGGACAAGCCAATTTACAACCTTAAGGAATTTCTACCAAAACTTCATTTCCATGGAGTACACTTTGGCTTCAATTTTCCATTCACTCAGTAATGGTTTTGAGCAACCAAATATAACACGTGAATCACAACGCGGCATAGAACGCGTTACCACTTTGACCCGAGTAAATCGATACTCGGGGCCCACCTAAAAAATAGACCAAACTTGAGAAAAAATTCTGATTTTACCCAGAATTTTTTCACCATTTCCAACAATCCCTCTGGAAGTGATGATCAAAGAAGAAACACCTTAATTAATGATTTTATGTGTCTAATGGATAATTACATGTTTAATAAGCATTTATGACATGCTAAACTATGTGCAGTTGGCTTTGCTAACCTAATCATATGCTTTTTCATCCACAAAATTAAAATATTTAAATCTAGACTTAGTAAAAAAACCAAAAAAGAGATGACCATTGGAAAGTTAATTAATGCCAAGATTGTATCATCAAGGACTAGCGAAGATTACAATTTATTAGGAGTTTGTTACATTCGTTTGTTTTAAATTTATCGAACCAATCGCAAAATGATGTTGGTGTGGAGAGAGAATTAGAGTGTTGGGTCAACTGAAAATTAAAAATTGAATGGTAAATTTTATAAGAATGTTGCTATTAGCACCTACTAAAATTCTTTGAACTTTTTATTTTTATGGACCCCAACTTTAAATCTTAAATTTTAATAATATTTTTTTGGACACCCCACTTATTATCAAATCTACCCATATTCATAATATTTTCACAATGAAATGCACATCCACCTAATTTTTCATCCCTCTCCTTCCCTGACTCACTCAATCTTCAGAGTTTGGAGCTTTGGTCCAATATAGAATTCTTGGACCCCAACCCTCCATCACTCTCATCGCTGTCTCGACCGTCAACAGAGCATTCCGGCGACTCTCATCTTCTCTGAACGCTCTCTGTATCGTCGAATCAGTAATCTCTCTCATTCTCTTATCATCATCTTTTTCGTTGCTTTTTGTGTCTTTGTCATCACTGAGATCAATCGAAAATTCTCTAATTTCTACGGGATTTGCATAACCATTTGCAAGATAAGGAAAAACAGAATCATCGTCTAAATCACCATCAGAATTCTGAATGTAGCCCAAAACAATTTATTCACCACTGTGTAGCCGAAAAAATGTATTTTGTTCATAACTTTTTTGTCGAACAATAATGATCATGTTAGCACTGTATGTCCGAACAAAATTTGTTCAGCACTGTGTAACTTGAATCCATTCCAATTCACAACTTAAAATAACATGAATTAAATCCATTCAAAACACATAACTTAAATCCATTCCAATTCACTCTTTTTCATTCTAAGTTAGTTTAACAAAGAAAATTACATAACTGACTATATGCATTAATGTTCGGAACCTATGTATTGAACGAAAGGATTGTGTTCAGTACTGTATTATCGAACATAATTCTAACAGTCAGCAAACCAGTACCGAACAGTTTGAACGAAACAAGAACGACCGAAAACCACCGAGAATATTAATACAAGACAGATAAATTTATCAATGGAACACCAGTCTCACTAGAATTGTTATCCTTGTCTTCAATTGCACTACACAGTGAAATAAGTGATGAAGTATACGTTATACTTGAAGCAAAACTTTCAAGTTCAATAGCGTTGATGATGGTGATGAAGATGGCACATTCAGAATTTAAGATGATTTGAAAAATAATAGATTTAGGGTTTATGTTAGTTGGTTATGAAAAGTAATAGGTTTAAGGTTTACAAATATAGAATACATATAGTTGGAGTTGGAAGTGGGGGTGGGTGTCCAATTTTATAGAGTATTAGTTCTTATTGATAGGTGAGTGTTCCATTTAATAATGTCTTTTAATGTAATTTCACTTTAGGATATAATTGTAATAAAAAAATTATAAAAAGAGGGGTTCAAAGAATTTTGGCAGGTGCTCATAACAGCACTTTTTTATAATTTAAAATTTTAATTGGTACATATTATTTTTTTAGATAGGTGTATGTATTGAAATTAAACGTTGAATTTAATGTAGATTGTTTAATATATGTATGAAAAGTTAAAGTTTGCTATGTATTATGTTTCACCATCTTTTCTTATCACTGAACACCACGAAGCTAGTAGAGTTCACATTAATAAATATACCTAAAATTTTGTTAGCAATTGATATATCTAATCATAATCAATAAGACACAAAATATAATTATAAAAAAAATAAGAATCTAAATTAAGAATATAAAAACATAATAATTTACATTAATTATTCTATAATAAAGTTATCTCTACTGTCGTTATGGTTTCATTATAATTTGAATTAATCACATTACAATATAAAAAGATGTAATTATGAAAACAATAATATTAGGGCAATTGAGGCAAAATTGTGAAATACAAAAAATACACATACAACAAAATTTATAATCTAGTGACTAATATTCAATACTTAACAAGATTCACGCCCTCAATAAATTCATGACTTTGTGATTAGGAATAATAAAAAAATTAAATAACCATTTTCCTTCCCCTTATCACCAACTACAAATTAAAAATGTAAAAAAGAGCCTTCATAGTAATGAAAACTCATCAATCATCAATTAAAATAGGAAATCATATGACAAACTTGACAAGGACATCAGGGAATGCAAGGAAGTTTCCTCCAAGATCGGTTGAAGGCAAGTACACTTCCCATGAAATTATTTTTTTTTAGTTTTCTTTTTGGACTATTGTTAGAAGTGATCTACATAAATAAATAAACAAATAAAAGAATAACGAAAAACGAAATTTTGTATGAGGATAATCTAGGAAGATCCTCAAATTCTTCCAACCCACTAAAACCTCTCTGCCCACTTCTTAGACAATTCACAGAAACTGGCCTATTTATGTCATCATAAGGATATATAATAAATGCAATAATACTAAAATAAAATGGGCTTCTTAGCATTTGACAAGTAGGCAACTTTAAGAATAAATCAAGGTACATGATTTTTTATGCGATAATTTTATTATATTTTTTATCACAATATATGTTAAGAAAATTCATAATTTAACGATTCGAGCAATGGTATTACAACTTAGCTCTAATGAGGTAAGAGGGTAAAGGCAGTTTGATTCATCGAAGTTGAAGAAAATTCAGCACTTAGCCTAACCTTTCAATTTTGTAGGTTGATGAACCTAACTTTTTAATTTTTGTAAAATTGACCACATAATATGGTTCAAATTTTTATCAATTTCGGTTAACCGAAAATAAGAAATTAAAAAAAATAGGGCTTTTAGGGCAGTATAAATGCCTCACTCCCTAACTTTTATTGCACAAAATGTTACATTGGTTACTTATCAGACAATAATAATAAGGAAAAAAATATTAAATATAATATTTTGGTCAATTATCAATTGTCTCACCAATTTTTCTTAATCCCGATTTTCATACCATCTCAATTGTTCTTAGTCCCAACTTTCTTACGGTCTTAAATATGAACGTGTTTTATCTATCATATCAATGCCTTGCTATCTTCGAATGACATTTAATAACTCAATTCAATATTTTTCTCACCATTATCATCGACCATTAGAGCTATTATCTTTTCACTATCATCGCCGCGGTCGCTGCTCTGGTATCATTGCTTCCACTTCTCCATAGCCACTATCACCATCACAATACAAAAATTTGGACAATAAATAAATTAAAAGCAATAAATTTTAAATTTTACCTTGTGCATATCAATTTATTTTAATTCTACACTTAAATTTTTATCAAATACTTTTTTGATTTAAAAAATTTATAAACAACCAATTTTCAATATTTAACTTCATAAAATACCATTGAATCAACCAGAAAGTTGGTGGGTTGCTTTATATGTAAGAGCCACTACCATCTCTGTTGAGGTTAACCCACTACAGACGCAATTCATCAGAGCATATCCCGTGAGGCTTCCCCGTTTCTTCTCCTTTTTTTCATTCTTTGTTACTTTCTTCTTTATTCTTTCACTTGCTTCGAATGATTCCATTTCTCATCCCATCAACTCTACTAAAACATGAGTAACACCATGAGACCAAGAATCAAAGTCATGTTTCATTTGGCTTATGACAGAGGTTAAACTCATAAAAACCCAATCATCTTGTACATTTGATCACTCTTTTTTTTCTAAGTTGTTTAGTTTTTTCATTTTCAAATGGATGCGATTAATGTTAAACCCAAGAAAGGGCTGATCGTCAAGACATGGGAGCGATGCAGATCGATCAAGAACAAGAGTCGACCATGGGCCCTGCAACGTTCTCTGAAAAGCTGGTCATGGCCTCGAGCTATTGTTGCACCCGAAGGTTGCTTCTCAGTCTATGTAGGACCACAGAAACAGAGGTTTGTGATCAAGACAGAGTATGCTAACCATCCTCTGTTTAAGATTTTGCTTGAAGAAGCTGAGTTAGAATATGGGTACAACAGTGAAGGTCCTCTTGCACTGCCTTGCAATGTTGATTTGTTCTATAAGGTCTTGGTGGAAATGGACTCCACCAGTGAGATTCGTCATGGTTGTGGCTTTTCTATGGGTCGCTGTGGCTCCTATCGTCTTCTCAGTCAGTCTCCGTTGGTTGCCATGAATAATTAAGTTTCTAATCCTTCAAAAGTTTATTGAAAGGGAAGAGAAGCGTTTCATCTACTAGAGAAATCCTTGTGCTTGATGTGTCAATGTTTTTTTTTGTTGGAGAATTTTTTCATTTTGAGGGTGTAATCATTTCATTTTGAGACATGTAACATAGTTTGTTGTGGAGTTGGAATAGTAACACACCTCCAATTGTAACAAAATCATCAACAAGATCTTGTGATTCCAATAATACCAACAGCCTTTCTTAAAAAACCTTTTTCTTTTTATGAAATTATGTGTTTGATTTTGGTGTGAAGAATGAATTAAAAAGATGATTTTCTTACATAGCAATTCTTAATTTCACCTCTACTTAGCTTACTTAATAGAGAGAGGTTGCTAAAGTACCACGTTCATGACTCTTCCACCAAAAATACACTTTTATGAAAAAAGCATGATTATTTGAAATCAAATGATGCCCTCTCATTCATTCCAAGTCCTTAATATTACAATTTTATATTAAATTTTTTAACAATTTGGTTCATATGTAAGAACTTAATTATTGTGCTTTAATTTATTTATTTTTTAGATAGGAATTGTTGTACATATATGAAATTTGAGATTGGTTCTATGATCATAGATATAGGGAAGAAAAACATTAGAGGGGGTGTATCCAAGATAACACAAGTTACTAATTTTATTTAATTTTAATAATTTTAAGAATATAAAAACTGATTAATTCCGTGATCGTATTTTATATATATATATATAAAATTAATTTAATTTTTTATGTGAGTTTGACTTTTGAATAATGTTGCATATCATCACTTAGCTTGCTTTTTGCTTTTTTAGGGGTTGTTTGGGGTGTCTTAAATAAGTGCACTTTTTGTCTTTTTGAACTAAAAAGTTGAAGAAAAAAATATGGATGTTTGGGTTAATTTTTTGACTTTTTATGAAAAAATGTATATTAAAAAATTGTATAAAGAAGTGTGTAGGAGAAGATTAGAGAGGGGTGGGCCACAGCCATACAACCTGCACAAGTGAAATGGGAGTAGGAAATTATTGGCTACTTTTTGGGCATTGCACTTGACGGTTTTGTTCGGCCCGTAGAGGTCATCACGGGTCCCATTTTGATAATCTAAACCGTTCAATGTGTATAACTCGTCGATTACTATATGTCTATAAAAAATCACATTGATCAGATATCGATAGCTATCTGATCATATTTGTTTTTTCTCAATCATTAATTATAATCCCATCCATTTTTTGTACATAACTGATTTGATCATATAGTTATCGATATCCGATCAATGTGATTTTTTACAAACATAAAGTACTCGACGAGTTCTACATATTGAACGGTTCAGATTATCAAAACGGACCCGTGATGGCCCCCACGGGCCGAACAACAGTGTGTGAAAATCACACCCAATCATTTCATTTTTGTCCACAGCGGCACCACAGCAGCTGCACATACATCAATTCAAAGTTGTACTTTTTGTAGAAAATTGATTTTTAAATTTTTTTTTTTTTTTAATTTTTTTTTTTTTTTTTGGTGAATAGAGATAACTTTTTAACTTTTTAAGTTACTTTTTGACTTTTTACCTTTTTTAGACTATGCCAAACCAGCCCTTAGTATATCTGAAAATGTAGATGTGAGTTGGTTGGTCCATTTGATCATATCATCCTAAATAATGCAATTTATAAATGCTGGTACTACTGTAAAAATTAATTTAATTTTTTATGTGAGTTTGACTTTTGAATAATGTTGCATATCATCTCTTAGCTTGCTTTTTGCTTTTTTAGTATATCTGAAAATGTAGATGTGAGTTGGTTGGTCCATTTGATCATATCATCCTAAATAATGCAATTTATAAATGCTGGTACTACTGTAATACGATAATTTCAAAGGGCACGGCCTCTATCCAGTCTGTAAACAGATTGGACCGTATTGTTAGGTTTATGGGAGTTCACCGCGGGTCTCGTTTTGATAATCTGAACTGTTGAACGTGTAGAACTCGTCAAGTACTATATGTCTGTAAAAAATCACGTTAATCGGATATCGATAGCTATGTGATCAAATCAGTTTTGTATATAAAAAAAATAGACGGTGAATAAATTAACGGTTGAAAAAAATCTGTTTTGATCACATATAACTATTGATATCCGATCAACGTGATTTTTTATAGGCATATAGTACTCGACGAGTTCTACACATTGAACGATTCAGATTATCAAAACGGGACCCGTGATGGGTCTCTACGGGCCCAACAGCAATCGGACTGGACAAAAGCCATTCCCAATTTCAAATATATAAATAGAGGTATACAATAACAACAAATGAAATTGAAATTACGAAGATCAATATAAAATTTCTCTAAACTATAGACAAATTATGTAGTTTATCTTTGTGGGGATATATTTTCTGGGTATCAACACGTGGCCAAGGTGATGCCGATGTGTCAGCCGAGGTGCCACGTGTCCAGGTCATGACGCCGAGATTATCTCAGAAAAGCCGAGGTTATCTCCGAAGATATCGGAATCCGAGATAAGCGGATAAGGGAAAAGAGTCCTAGAATAAGGAAGGACTTTAGCATGGATAAGGATAACACTCTTAAAGAGTTTATCTTTATCTCTTGAAGAGTCTGGGATAAGCACTGAGCAAGAGTTCATTGAAGTTAGGCTTCTAGTGGGACAAGGTGTAACAACCCTCATGCTGTTTACTGATTAATGACTGATTGATTACCGATAATCACCGATTAACAGTGAGTTTAGCACTATTGATTATCTTTTAGAGATATACTGACTTGATCGTCGGAGTGCCCCCAGGTGGACGAACCACCGTCAGAATCTTCTCTTTCTATTGCAGGTCAACTATGTGTCATCTATTCTGTCAGTTCTCTCCAGCTGAATACTGAGTTGGACAGTGTGATCGGAAAATCACTCACACAATTTGGCGCCGTCTGTGGGAAAGAAAGAAGAATAGATGGCCAGTTGACGGACAGAAGGAAAAGATTGGGGACGACACTCATGCTGGGAGTGGCAAACCTATCGACCTTGACGTTGAAGGAGACAACCGCAACACAGAAACTCGTGACCAAAATCACAGCAAGAAAGATGTCGGCCAGGAGGGCAACGTACCAAGGAAACCAGAACAAAGCAGGTATTATAACGAAGATGACCTCCAAGTGTGAAAGGATAGATGCCTTCGAAGGGACGAAGAAGTAAAAGAGATGGCGAACAAATTGGCCGACCTGCAGTCGGTCGTTAATTTTATGATGCAAAACAATGTCATGCAGCCACCGTTCCTGCTGTAGGGCACGCCGATTCCAGCAGCCAATGCACAGAAGGGAGGACAGAAACCAATCCTAGAAATCCCCCAGCACGCTAGGAGCGAAAAACACTCTCACCGGCCTTCAAGGGAGCCAAGCTCCTGGACGGAGCAAAGAAGACTTGAGAGATTACCTCAAGAGGAAGCAGCAGAATGCCGATGCCGAGGTAACTTCCCTTGAAAAGCTGAGAACACCATTCTCGATGGAGCTGGACAAATTTGAGGCTCCGAAGAGATTCAGTATGCCAAGGTTCCAAATATACGATGGTAAGTCAAACCCCAACTTTCATGTTGGATTATACCTGAATTCAATGGCATTGTACAGTGGGAACGAGCCATTGCTCTGCAAAGTGTTTCCTTATCTTTTGGGGAGATTGCATCAAATTGGTTCCACAAATTACCAAAGGGAAGCGTGAAGACTTGGGAAGGTCTGGCCGAGATGTTTGTGGCCAGGTTCGTGACAAACAAGTTGCAGCCATTAAGGGTGGACGCATTGATGGCTCTGAAGATCAGTAAGGAAGAAGGCCTTAGGGCCTATGCAAAAAGGTACTATGAGGTGTTTAACCGAATACCAGAGTGTAATCAAGAGGTGGCAGTCGTATCTTTCAAGAATGGCCTAAAAGACGACTGCCCACTACGAAAATCTTTGGCAATGACATTGCCAAAAAGCATGGAAGAGCTCATGGCAAGGATCGAGAAGTATGCTAGAGCCGAGGAAGATACATCGGGGATTAGGGAGACAAAACAAGAGAAGGGAAACGGCTCCCCGAAGCGAGGCCGAGGTAACAATGGATTGGGAAAGCAAGAAACAGAACTGAGGGCTGCACAGGCAGTGACAACTGTGTTTCGAATCCCAATTCACAAAGTCCTGGATCAAATTCGGAATCAACCCTATTTTAGAACACGCAGTAAGCGCAGTGGTAATTCGAGAAGAAAAAGGGGAGCAAAGGACTATTTACTATGTAAGCAAAACCCTGGCCGATGCAGAAACAAGGTATCTACCCTTAGAAAAATTGGCACTGGCTTTAGTAATGGCTTCAAAGAAACTGAACCAATACTTCCAGGCCCATAAAATTATTGTGCTAACAGAACACCCCTTGAAGTCTTTGCTACAACAAGGAGACCTGACAGGAAGAATAGCCAAATGGGCAATGGCCTTGGGACAGTATGACTTGGAGTACAGACCCAGAACAGCAATCAAAGGCCAAGTTTTGGCCGACTTCGTGGCCGAGTTCACACCAGAATCCATCGCATATCGGGCTTCATTGAGCCAAGGTGAACAATGTCCAAGCAAGCAAGGAGAAGCCCAGCCAAATGCAATAGAACAAAGGAGAAAGGAAAAACTCAGACCCTGCAGCATTTACACCGGCGACTCCTTTCGACTATTTGTCGATGGAAGCTCAAACCAACAAGGAGCGGGGGCAGGAGTAGTATTGGTATCTCCAGATGGAGAAGTATTGGAACAATCCATTCGATTGGGGTTCAAGGCCTTAAACAATGAAGCAGAATATGAAGCATTGATTGCAGGACTAAAGCTGGCGGTAGCAGCAAAAACAGATGAAGTGATAGTCTTCTGTGACTCCCAGCTCATAGTCAACCAGACAACGGGCGAATTTACAGCCCGAGATGAAAGGATGTCAGCCTACGCAAAGGAAGTCAACAGGCTAGTAGCTTTGTTTCAGAATTGCCAACTGCATCAGGTTAGCTGAGATGATAACAGTCACGCCGATGCACTATCCAATCTGGCCAGTGCAATACAACCTGGAAAAGCAAGGACGATAATGGTCGAATACTTGTCGGGCCCGAGCATTGAACCACTGACCACAGAGCATGAAACAATGTGTATGGACATAGGACCAAGCTGGATGGATGCAATTGTTGCATTCTTGAAAGAAGGAAAGCTGCCAGATAAACACAAGGAGGCACACAAGATTAGATTGAAATC